CGCTGTGGGGGGGAACGGGAACGGTGTGTGGGGGGGGGGGGATCCTGCCGGGCCCTTCGCCCAACCCTCCCGCCCGTCCCTCCGGTCCCCTCCGCTCACCATGGCGGCCGCCGAGGAAAAGGCCACACGCGCCCGTCCCACGCAGCCGGAAACGCTCCTCGCGGGCTGCCCGCCCCTTCCGTCCTCTCGGCCCCGCCCAACGCTGCGCCAGCCCAGTCAAGGGGCGGAGACAACGGTGACTCGCCGTCCAATGGGCGCCTCCCTGCTCCGCGCGCCGGGGCTCCTGCCGGGAAACCCTGGGCGAGGGGCGAGGGGCGGGGAGGGGGGGAGGCGCCCCCGAGACGCGCGCAGATCGGAGCCTCCGGCTGGGTCCTCTGAGTCCCCGGAGGCCGCAGCTGCGTTGCTCCCCCCCCCGCCCCCCGCCCAGCCTCTGGGGCTGCGAGCGCTGCCCAGCCAAGGGAGGGTGGGGGGCGTCGGGGTCTCTGGCCGCTCTCACATCCAGCCGCCGCCGCTGCTCTTCGGGGCAGGAAACGCTCCAGGCAACGGCGGCCTCTTCTTCTTCGGGGCCTCCAGGCGGAGAAGCCCCCACAGGCCCAGGAGCTTCGGCTGCAAGAGCCGGAGAAGCTTCTTGGATGAGAAGCGAAACGTCTCCGGAGGGAAGAAGAAAGTCCAGCCGCCCCTTTAAAAAGCCCCTTCGGGACCACCAGGACTCGGAGGGCTGAGATTTGTCCAGGCTGGGCGGCCACCGGCTTGGCCAAGACGCGGGAGGGAGATCCAGGGGTCAAGGCCCACAGCCGGCAGTGGGGTGGAGCTGCCCCGAAAGGCCCGTTGGGGCAGATTGGGGCCAGCCTCCCTTTGGAGCCCTGCGGCTGGTTGGGGGTCTGCGCCATAGCTGGGCAGCCAGGTGGGGGAGGAGGGGGACGCGGGTGGCTCTGCGCTTCCAAAGCTTTGGGCGAGAGCAGATGAGAAATGGGAGCAGGCTTCAAAAGCTTTGCTCTGCCTGATGAAGCGGCTGCAGAAACGTCTGAGGAAGGACAGATTCTCTTGGGAGGGGGAGACCGTTTGCCCCGACCTCTTTCCGAAAGGACAGTATTGAAATAATGTCCAAATACGGAGGGAAAAGGCTACTTCGCTCTTCCACTGATCCCATATTCAGCCTTCTTTCCAACAATTTATCCCCAGCCGTCCCGCGTGACCAGATGTGTTTTTTAGGGTAAATTATAATGTCTGCTACCCCATTGGGTCTTGGTAACGGAAGCAATGCGGAAAGGCCTGTATGGAGCCTCAATTGGCCCTTGAGCCCCTAGCGCCAGAACCGGGCAGTGTGAAATGAGCTGGGTGGGCCTGCCCTGCTCCGTACTCGGTGACCCAGGAACAAGACCCCCCTCCCCTCCAGAGCAAATAGCATTTGGCTGGGCACCACAAGCCTTCCTACACTCTGTGATGGCGTATAAAGCAGCTGNGGGTTACTCCACCACCTCGGACTTCACCAAGTCTGTCATTGACCACCTCCACCCCCCCTATGGCGTCTAGGCTCAGGCTGCCCCTGGCCCACACCCCCCCCCCGATGCATTGGGGAAGAAAGCCCCCTCCTGCCTGGAGGTCCTCCAGAGGTCTAGAAGGGGCTGGGTGGGGGGGTTGCCCAGGGCCTTCCGGAGAGTTTGTTCTGTGACCGCTGCTGGGGGGGTGGTGGTCATGCCTGAGGCCTTCTGCTCTGCTGGACTTTGGAGCCTGCCAGGGCTCGGGGTGGGGGTGCTGGGGGAGCCCCCTGTGGGGGTGCTGTGTAACCTGGGACTGCGCTCTCCATCCTGTCTGTGAATAAAAGGGATTTTCTTAGCCGGCTCTTGGCCAATTCCTGGCAGCTGACAGGGGGGGCCTGGGGGGCCAGGAGGAGCCTGGCTTGGGCGTTTGGGACGGAGAGACCCCCTGAACAGCCCCGTCCTCATCCTCCCACCCCCAAAGCAGACCTGCTCCCTTGGTCTCCTCTCTCTGGAAGCCCCTCCCCTGGTCCCCCTCGGGGGAGGCCCTCGCCCACAGCTTGGGATCTCATGGGTGGGTGGGGGGGGGCTCCTGGTTGCCCTCTGGGTCTTGGCAGAGACATTAAAATTACTATTTGTGATTCTGGAGGAAGATTTCCCCCCCCCTGGCAATCTGCCCAGGAAACCCGGGGAGGGGGGGGAAGAGGCACTGGGGGCTCCTCTCCCCCCCTTGGGCTGCTCAGTCTCCACCAGGGACAGATCCTCCTAGAACTGATCTTGGTCTCCCTCAAAACACCTGGCAGTTTCTCCTGCCCCCCCCCCCAATGCCTTTTGGCTGTGCCAAGGGAAGGGGCGGCTCCTTTGAGGCGGAGAGAGGACCTCCCCCCACTGGCCTGACCCCCCCCCTCTGCGCTCCATTGGGCGTGGCCGGAGAGGAAGAGGCGGAGAACCGCCGTCAGGAGTGACGCAGAAGAGGCGCCTCTTGGGCCAGACTGGCCACAACCGTGGGGTCTCCCCCTTTATGGTCACAAGCCATGACAGCGACAGTCCTCGTGGGAGCCACCCAGTTTCACCCCCTCATCTGGGGGGGCCATGAAGCAACCAACGCAGTTGTCAGGCGAAACCCCCCCCCCCCGTTCTGCTATGGGCCGCCCCTCCCTGGAAGTCGGCAGGGCAAGAAAGTGCTGCGAAACGGCTGCGGGGCCTCTGGGCACAGCACCAATTGCAGCCAGGTTGCCCAGCACCTGGAGGGTGGCCACGTGACATTGGGGGGGGGATTTCAAAGTAATCCCCCCCCCCATAAGTCACCATTGGAAAGGTGACTGGCCACTAAGCCATAAGTTGAGGACCACCCGCAATGGAGAGAGTTCCCTGAACAACTTTGATCCATTCTGGGCAAGGGGCAGCAGCAGCTTCTTCCTAAAGTTGCCCCCTGTAGTCTTTGCCAGCCCCTAATATTATGGGTGGCCCACGGGGGTCCTCCCTGCCCAGAAAGAGAAAGAGGCCCCTGGACTCTGGAGCAGCGGCCAGGCCCCACCACCTCCACGCGGCCTTCAGCAGTTTGTGAAAGGGGGCTTTCTCTCCCCCCCCCTAACTGCAAGTGAAGAATTCTGGCTTGAAAAAAGCAGAGGGGGGGGGAGGGCATTTTCAGCTCTGAAGTTCCCATTGAACCAGCCCCTCCCCTCCCGCTGTGGGTCCCTGATCAGGCAGGCCCAACGGGGGTGAGGAGAGTCCTCCTCCAGCTGTTCCCCCCCCAGGGCAGCCTCTGAACGCCTGGCAAGGGCTTACGGAGCCCGGAGCATCTCTGCTGCTTTTCTCTTGGCAGGTGCGGACTGCAGACATGGGGGGCTACGCCACCTCCGACGACTTCACCCAGGCCGTGATTGCAGCTCTGGTGGACTGAAAGGGAACTCGGCTGGCCCAGCAGTTTCTCTTCACCTATTTATTCCTAATTTATTGTAACTGTTGATGGCCGCACAGGCAATAAAAAGCACAGAAACAACGCAGGCTTTCCACACCCTTCTTTCACCTGGAGCTCACAGGAGCCCAACCCACCACAAGCAGCCCCACCAGGAGACAGGGTGTGTGGGTGGGGTGTTAAGAGAAGCTTCTGGTTCTTGTGGCAGACATTTTGGATGCCAACTCAGCCCCCCCCCTCCCCAATTCAAATCTGAGGGCAGCCTGACAAAGCTTGCCCCCCCTCCCCAGAGAGGCTGAAGGCAAGTGAGGGGCTGCTCTATAAAAAGGTAGCACATTTTATTCATATCAAGTGAGTTAAAGACCATTCGGGTTTATAGTCCTGCGGGGGGGGGGGGGCTCCTGCCGGCCCCCATCCCCAGAGGGGAGCCCCTGGGTGGTCTCCTCCTCTGCTGGAAGCCCAGAGAAGCCGGGCCGTTCCTGGCTGCCCCCCCTCCCCCCAAGCAAAGGGCCAGGGCCTCCCGTGGGGGATCTGCCCACTGGGCCTGCTGTCTCCCTGCCTTGAGAGTTCTGGGCTGTGGGAAAAGGCAGCCAGGCTTCGTTCCAAGAAGCCGAATTGGACGGACTTGGCATCGGCTGGACTCCCCCAGGCTAGTCCTCGTCCTCGTCCGCCCTGGCCTTCCTCTTCTTCGCCTTCTTCCCCTGGGGGGCCGGGGGCTCCTCCACCACCACCACGGCTGGGGGCTTCTTCTTCTTCTTGGGCAAAGGGGCGTCTTCGTCTCCCAGGCTGTTGTTGGCCGGCTCTGCCTCCAGCTCTTGGGGCTTCCTCTTCTTCCTCTTGGCCTTTGCCTGGTTCTCCTGGGAAGGAGGAAGAGGCCTCAGTGCCACCCCCCACTCAGCACAACACGCGCACGGCTGCTCCTGGAGGCGGCTCCCTGGCCCTCCCCTGCAGCCCCCAACCCTCCAGGGAGGCAGGAGCCCCCCCCCACCTGTTCTGGAGGCTCCAGGAGGGGGGAGGAGTTGTTGTTTTGCGTCTCTGCAGCCGCTGCCAACGCCTGCAAGCGTTTCTTCTCCTGCTTCAGCTTCTTCCTCTCCTTCTTCTGCAACTTCCTCTTGATCTCAGCTGCTGCCTCTGAAGCCTGTGGAGGGAGGGGACAGTCACCGGGGCTCCACCTGCCCCCCTCCCCTTGCCAGGCAGGCTCTTGGCCTCGAAGGGCGCTGGTTGGATCAGGCTCATTAAATCAGCTTTGGCCTCCACAGACGACAAGGCTGGTCAGGCTGAGAGTCTTCATCACGCCCAACAGCGCAGCCCCTCCCTGCGCCCCCCCTCACCTCCTCCACGGCCTCCTTCATGACCTCCAGGTTCTTGCGAGGGACCTCCCCGGTCTCATAGAAGGCCAGCCGCTCCTCCACCTGCTCCCGCAGCTTGTCTCCAAAGACGGCGGTCGGGACTTCTGGAGGGGCAGAGAGAGGAGCTGAGCTGAAGCTGCTGAGAAAGGCCCTCCGGCTGCTGCCTTTGCTCAGATATTTTGATGTCAACATTCACTGTGCGTGAAATACTGCTGACGAAAAATGTAACCATCACGGCAAAGGCAGGAAGCTCCTTGGCGAGTGGCACCCGTGCCGGCTCCCTTCCCCTCTCCGGCGGAGGGAAGGGGCTCTGGGGGCTCCCGCAGCCCACCTGAGAAGCAGTCGATGCGGGATGCGATGGTGCACTTGTTGGCCAGGTAGCGAGAGATGCGCCCCTTGTTCTTGGCCGCCGCTCGCCCGATGAAGGTGGAGTGGAATATCAGGCCGTACTTGGGAGTGTTTCCCCGGGTCTTCAGGGCCCTGCAGGGCAGGAGACAACCACGCAGACGACCCCGTTGGCACCCGGTTGCCCAACCCCAGGGGAGGGAGGGGAAAGGCGGCTGTGGGTGTAACCAGCAGCAGCGCCTGGTCCCCGTTAAGCTGGTTACCTGAAGAGGGCCTTCTCTGCCCCCAGGATCTGAACCGTGGAGGCCGGGTACTTGGCCAGGTTGGTCAAGCTGCCTGCATGGGAGATGAGGCGAGCCCCCACCTGTGCGGAGAGAACAGAGAACCGGTTCATTCCGTCCATGCGATTTGTGTGGCCGCCCATCTTGCCCTCATCTATCTAAGTGGCTGCCCACAAAGAACCGAGCTCTGATCAAAGCAATGCGAGAACTCCAGCCACTGCTCGCCCCCCCCCCTGCATTCCATGTCCCAAAGCCCAAATTAACACCCCCCCCTCCTGTCCGGGTAGCTTGCCTGGACTGGGGGCAGAAGTGTGGTTTCTTCCTTCTGCCTGCCTGCCGGAGAGGCCAAGCGCTGCCTCAGCCCTCCCTTCCTTCCTCCCTTCCTTCCTCCCTTCCCTGGCCCAGATCAGCATTCATAGGTTTCAGCACTGACATTCAGTGGATTGACAGATTCAAATGCACATCATGTCTGCGGCCAGAGAGCCCTCTCCACACCACACAGGTACGACNGAGAAAGATCGTGTCCTGTCTTTTCTCCACATTGGCCTCATGGACGACCCACGGGAACGTTACAGCCCTGGAGCGACCCAAGGGCCCAGCCTCCCTGGAACAGGGCCACCACGGAGCCCTTTCCAGCAGCCTTAATTAGGGCCCCACTGCCTCCTTTTATATCCCCCTCCTGAGATTTCAAAATAGGTGGGCGTCTCCGGGGGCAGCTCTGGCTGGAATGGAGGTGGGCTTAGGAAAGGCCCGGCTGCCTTCTGTGGTTGGCATAAGCGACCCTAAGGAGGCCTAAGGCCAGTTCAACACACCCACCCTTCCCCAAACCAGCTGTTGTGTATAAAGAACTACTTGCAAGACCCCCCTCCCCCAAGCCATAAATGGGGCTAGCCCCCCCTTGGGCGGGGCAATTGCAGCTCCCTCCTTTCCAGTGCAACAAGAGGCTGAATGACACGTGGGAGATGCAACCCCCAGCAGGGGCAGAGAGCAGCCAAGGGAGGCGCCTGAATGAAGCCACAGCAGGGTGGGTTCCAGAGAGCTTTATTGATTGATCTCCAGTCCTCGAAGGAAGCCAACATGCAAGGAAGGATCTGTTTTGTAGTGCTTGTAGATCCCTGGGCTCTTCCCACCAGGAAGCCTCTTTGGGATCCTTGACCAAAACTGCAGAGGAAGAGGAAGGCTGTGGGGGGAAGGCAGGAGCAGCCTCTCCTCTCCATGGAAACCACCCTCTGGGTCACCCCAAAGACTGAGCCCTCCCCATCTGGGGAGTGGGAGGGGTGGAGAGGCAGGACAGGGCCCCCAGCAGACTGGAAGGCCTGCACCACAGAGGCGGCCGAGGGAGCCGGCCCTCCTAAGAGATCAGCCGGGAGTGGAGTTTGTGCAGCTGCTCCGGAGTCAGCACCAACTTGTGCCGCTGCCCGTGGCCCGGCTGGCAGGGGAAGGTCACGCGGCCCACGTAGACGGCGCTGTCCTTCTCCTCCTCTTTGGCCTGCAGGGAAAGGAGAGCCGGTGGAGAGATGCCGGGAGGGCTGGCAGCAGCTACCCCCCCCCTCCTTTCCCAGCCCCTGGAAGAAGAAGCCCACCTTCAGGAAGGGCACGGAGGGGAAGGTGCCGAAGTCCGTAGGGATGGTGGCCCCGGGGCACTGCAGGATCGTCTCCTTCCTGACTTCATCCTGGAGCGGAAGGGGAAGCTCAGCGGTCGCCCCGGAGCAGCCGAGGGCCTGAAATGGGGGCCCTCCAACCGTGGCAGCTTTTAAGCCCCCCGGGATTCCCCCGCCAGCTATGCTGGGAAGTCCACAAGGCATAAAGGGGCCACATTTGGAGGCCTCTGACGGGGGGCTTCCCACTGGGAGCTCAGAGCAGAAGGCCCCCCCCCCCATTGGAAAGAGCTGCAGAGAGAGAGAGAGACACACAAACACATGGGGTTACCTTCAGCTTTTCGATGGCGTCGCTCAGAGATGCCAGGCGGGTCGTCTGCTCCAGGAGCTGAGCTGCTGGACTGCCCACTGCAGGAGGAAGGGGAGAGCAGTGAAGGGGAAGAGGGAGGGGAGGGCCACCTGCCGCTGCTCTCGGCCTCCCTGGCGCACCTGCCTTCCGCCGCGTGATGTCCACCACCTGGGCATTGGCACTCATCTGGTAGAGGGTCTCTAGCAGCCGGCTGGTCTTGCGGTACAAGGAGCTGGAGACCACCTCCTCCCCTTGCCTGTCCTTGGGCAGCGAGAGCTTGGGGACGTGCAGGGGGGGCAGCGACGCCAACTCCCTCCTCATCTGGGCACCCTGGGAAAGAAGAGTGGGGCAGGAGCAGCTGGGAGCGGCTCAGGGGGCTCGGCTGCCCCTCCCCCCATTTCTGAGAGGATGAGGATGGAATGGGGGGTCCGAGGAGGGTGGACAGAGGGCAAAGGCTCCCGTGGGAAGGTTTGGCTCCGGCCATCTTGGGGCTGCCGGGAGGAGCTCACCTTCAGTCGGTTATTCTCGTTTTTGAGGTGCTTGATGGACAGCTGCATGGCCTCGATCTGCTGGAGCAGGAGAGGGGAGTCCTTCACCTGCACAGGGCCGGAGCCCCCGACCATCACCTGGCTGGCACCCACACCTGCAGGAGAGACAGGAAGGCAGAGGTGGCCGTCAGCAGAGGCGGCTCCCCTGCAGATGCCACTGAGGCCTTGCTGGAAGAGCCTCGGCCAACAGGGAAGTGGGAGAATGGGGCGTGGCCTGGGCAAGGACTGCCCAATCCCTCCCAGGCCTCAGCCCTTATTGGGCACCTGCTTCCCGGGGAGCGTCCCAGAGAGGGGGCTGCCCCCCCGAGCCCAGGTTTCTCCTATTCCAAGAACAGGTTGTGGGGCTGGGGGAAACGCTGGCAAAGGGGAGGGAGGGGAAAATCCCTGGCCGGGGAAGGTTGTTTGGCAGGGCTCCTGACAGCCTTAGCCAAAAGCCCCCCCCCCCCCTCCGAGCCCCATCTACCTCTCTGCTGTTCCTCTGCAGCCAAAGCATGGAAGAGACAAGAAGGAGATTAGAGAAAAGGCTCCTTTCCACCCCACAAGCAGGAAAAGAGGACACAAGCACCCGGGGGGGGGGAGAGGGGGGGGAGCTCCTTTCACAGGCATCGGCCTGTTTCGTGCCCGGATTCTTTATTGTGCATGGGGGGGGGGGAGTCTGTCCCCTGTCTGGGCACTTTGTGGCATCATTAAGCACAGATGAAGCCAGGATCGGGCACAAAGGGTGGAGCAGCCCGAAGCCCAGCCCAGGCGCCGTCTGATGCTCCGTGTCCATCAGGGCTTCTGTCCTCAGGCACCCAGGAAGCGCCTGAAGCGGCATTGCCCTTTCTCCCTGGCCCCCTGCCCACCCCCGACCCATGCCAGGGCCTGAGCAAGCAGGAGGCCAACGGAGGATCCCCGGCCTGAGTGGCTCCGGATCAGGTTTCCCCCCCCCCCCACAGACCCACCTCCTGCGATGCTGGAGATGACGGAGGCAATGCCCGAGGGGGGCGGCCCCCCACGCAGGCCCTCGATGGTGCGCTTGGACTGGTTGCTGAGCCGCTGCTTCAGTTCCAGCTTCTCCGACTCCAGCTGGTCGATGTCTGCTTGCAGGGCGTCCATCGTCTCCTCAAACTCCCTGCACAGGAAGGAGGCGGGCTGACCCCTGACCCTCCGCCCCCCCCTCTTCTCGGGCCCTGAGGGTGGGGAGCACCACAGAGCTTCCCCCTCAAAACCGGCTGCCCTTTCGGGCTGGCCCAAACTGAGCCTCCTTGGGCCAGGGGACGACCGGGGGACGACTGGCCCCGGAGGAGCAGGGCAGGCCAAGAGTCCCTCCGGCTCTGGTCCTGGCTGGCAGGAAGAGGCCAAGGGGGGCAGGCGCTGTGCTGGCCCCTCCCTGGACTATGCCAACCCCCCAGCCCCACTGAACTCCAAAGGGCAGCTCTTCTGCTTTGCCTTGAGCTTCTCAGGCCCCCCCAGGGGCATAAATATCCCAACCGAAGGGCTCCGGCCGACCAGCCCAACTAAAGGATGCAGCCTTGGGCTCTGGGCCTTCCCCAGTAGTCCCGTGCCCGAGGGCATCGACAGGGGTTTTCTCTTCTGTCAGTCAGCGCTGACAGAACTGGGGAGGGGGGGGGTTGACTAGCTGACAGCCGTCACTACTAACACCTGGGTAAGCAGCAGCTGGATCCCTATTCCAACTGCAGCTGTTTCCAGGCCTTCCCTTCCCTTTGGAGGGCTCGTACCCGCAGAGTGTTGGACGCTGGTCTTTCGGCTGCAGGATTTCTTCTGAGGGTTATTGGGGGAGGGGTCTTCTAGGGGACTTTTACTGTTTCCTCCCAGGTGGGGAGGGGGGGCCCCGGGAGCCCCCCCACCAGCTTACTTCTCCTTCTTCTTCAGCAGCGCCTGGGTGTCGCTCAGCTTGCTCTGGATCTTCTCCACCCGCTCGTCGGCATCCTTGGAGGCGCTGTCCAGCTTCTTCTCCAGGAGGCTCAGGCGCACGTTGGCTTCGCTCAGCTCCTCGCCCTGGAGGGCAGGGAGGAGAGGTGGGTGTGTGGCCAGGGTGCCCAGGCTGCCAGGCACAGGCGTAGGCGGCAGACGGGCTGCCAGGCGTACCTTGATTTTAAGAGACTTCTTCAGCTCTTTGATGACCGTCTCTCGGTCCTCCAGCTTGAGCCCCAGGCCCTCAGCGTCCGTGATCTCGGCCCGCAGCGCGGCTGCCCGCAGCTCCACCGGAGGAACAGGCTGCAAAGAGAACGGACGGCCCTTCGATAAGGACCCTTCCACCTTGGAGCTGCCAACGGCGGCCTCCCTCTCTGAGCTCCAGGGCAGCTCTCAAAGGGGGGGGAGGGGGAGGCGAAGGCAGGGGACCTCTCCTGTCGGCCGGCCCATTCCTAGTGCCAGCAGGAGCTGCCTGCGAGAGCTCAGCCGCCGGCATGGGGCTCACCTTGGTCTGGGGCTTGTCTGCATCGTATTCGCCCTCCTGCATGGCGGTGGCCATCTTGTTCATGGTGGCGACGAGGTTGTTGCAGGACTGGCGCAAGCACTCGTAAGGGCTGATGCCCTGCGCCCCATAGATCTGGGGAAGAACCTCACATGCCTCACCTGAAGCAAAACCTCCCGGAAAGTCTGCAGCCACCAGAGAGGGAGGGGCCACGCCCACTTTCTGGGCAGCTTCGGAGGACTGTGGGCAACACGGCCTCCCTTGTGAGTCTGTGCCCCCCCCCAATCCCCCCTGGCCATGGCAGCAGCAGAAGAGGCAGGAACCGAAGCGGCCTTGGCCACTCCAAACCTTGGAGGGCTGGCAGCCCTTCCCCTCACAGGTGCAAAAGACCCCCCTCCCTGCCAGATGTTCCCAGGCCTGCAAACGGATCAGTTCCAGATCCTCTCCTCCCTCTCAGCCTGTCCTTCCCCAGAAGGGCTCCGCTGGCCTTCAGAGGCAACGGGGGGGAAGGAAGGGGCTCCCCCCCTACCTGCTCGCTGGTCTTGAAGGCCAGGTCCTCCAGCTTCACGGCCTGCAAGCCCTCGTTCTCAGTCAGGGGGGCGATCATCTGGGCCCCTGCGGCCGCCACCTCCTGCAGCACAGCCACCACCCAGGTCAGGTGTTTGCGGCAGTCCAGCAGGGTATCCGAGACCTGGGAGACCGGAGAGCGCAGGGTCAAGTCTCTGCAGAGGGAGGGGCTCCCTGCCAGCAGCGCAGGCCGACTCCCACAGGGCCCCACCTGTTGCCCAAAGCCCAGGGCTGCAGGGATGCCAGGAGCGTCGGTGCCCGGCATGCGCCGCCGGATCTTCTTGCAGAACTGGCGGATGTCGCTGCATGAGGTCTCCAGGTCCTTCAGGAGGATGGCGAAGTCGGAGGCCTCCTGTCCCGTCTGCAGAAGGGAGAAGGCAGCTCAGCCGGATTCGGCCGTCCACAGCCTGGCCGGGTGGGGGAGGGCGGCTCTTACCTGGAGGAAGGAGCGCAGCCGGCAGACCTCCACGCTCATGCAGTCCAAGGCACTCTGGGTGAACTGCAAGGGAAGGGGGGGGGGCTGTGCTCAGAGCAGGGCCACCAGGCAGCCCTCCTCTCTCCCTCTGGCCCCAAGGGGGGGGGGTGTCAGCAGGAGCAGAGAGACCTGACAACCCCCCCCCCCAAAGCAGCCCCTCCTCCTACAGGTCCCCTCACCTTGATGTGGTCAGCCAACTGCACCGTGCAGTCCTCGGCCTGGTCAGCCAGGTGGATGCTGTACAGGTGCTGGGAGGGGAAGGAGAGACGTCTCAGCCACAGAGCCCAAAGCTGCCAGCCGAGGCTGGATGGGCCTCGCTCTGGCACTGCTGTTGTAATATAGTTCCTTGTGTAGGTGTGGGTCACTCATGGCCCAGTGGATAACGGGGCATGCAGAGCCACGCTGAACCACACAGGA